ACGGCGACCGGGTATTGTACACACGCATACATTATTATTAATCATCGAACGCAGCTCGCCGACCTGGATATGTTTATCCGACGGGGTTGTATTAATATTATTATTATTTTGTCAAATCGGTCCTTGTCCGGTCCGGGTCACACACGCTGAGCACCTCTACAGATGCGCTAAGTGGCTAAGATTGAAAATTCAAAAAAAAAAAACACAGCGGTGGCAAGTAGTACCTACCCTAAATCGCGACCCAAAAAGATTTGTCGGCGTTTTATCATTTTCTTTTGTATTTTTTCACCGACCTGAATACTAAGTGCACGGTCCCCCTCCCCTAAACCCCTCGTGATGCACGACGGTGAAATAATATATAAAAAAACAGTTTTCCGGCAATTCTTTTTCGCATTGTGCACGTGTATAACACTACAAACGGCTCCGGCGATCAAACAACATTATTCAGGTTAAAAAATAAATTTACATTTATTCCATATGTGTGCGAACACAATCAAGCTTCCACATACGAGGTACACACACACGCGCGCGAGGGAAATAAGTATAGGGATGGTTCCACCACCCCCCCATCCCCGTCAAAATCATTTTTATTTATAACTCTACTACACTTGTACTTGTGTTGACAAACAAAACGTGTCTCTCGTCTCGAGTGAAAAATCCAACACATTATACTTACCCGTTTTTTCCGGGCTCCGGTCTAAGTGCGGTTTATCTGGGGAGGGTATACTTTTTATACTCACGCATACGGGTGGAGGGTTGAGGGTAAAGGGGGATTGGTTTCAGAATTTCATAGCCCGCCTGATTTTTTCGATGATAGTAAAATTACAAAAAAAAAACCACTCTTGTGTCAACCTTTTTGGGTTTTATCGAAGGATAATAATAATTAAGATTTGATTATTTTAAGTGAGAAACCAGATTTCTTTTTTTGGAGGAGGCACCGTATGAGATGACCAGAGATTATTTCACATGATTCTGAGTAAAAAAAAATTTTTTTAATTATTGTATTAGAAATGGTAAACGGCAAAATGTAAAAACTGTTACTCAAAGTAAAAAAAAAAAACATTAAACATAATCGACTAGTCATATTACTTATGTAAAGTACATTTTTAAGTATTAAGATAAAACATACAATTTATTAAGAAATAGTAATACCTTAATATCACTTTTTGGTTTTTATCGTACAATAATAGTTTAAAGTTTTTTCAGTTTATTTTTTTTCCAGTGAGAATAATTTGCCAAACATTTTGACTGATCTATAACCGGTTTTTAATAATTAACTTTTAAAGTTATTTTTTAGGTTTAATAATGTGAGATAGGAGGTATTACATAATACTACACTCCATCCTTCCTCTTGTCGTAGTAAACTTTAACAACTTTTAAAATAATTATTTACAAATTCAGTTCACTGGCTGACATGTTTGGTAAATTGTTCTTTATGTAAAACGTTATGAAAAAATATGTTCAGTACCATTTAAGCCTAAAAATATGATAGAACTCTGGAAATCACCCCAAAAAAAATATATAAAAAATGTATTATTGTGTAATATTGGAAAATAACATAACCTAACTGAGGTACACATATATCCAAAATCAAAAACTACAGACACCCACAGCAAATAGAGTTCAGTTATTTAGCTAATCATTAACTATACTTATCTATCTGGACAATAATAAATTCATTTTTTATTACAAGTGATATTGGCACATGGCTTCTTAATCTAATAAAAAACAGTGAAATTATTGAAAACGAGTTCAAATAAAAATGTATTACATTTTATAACTTACACGTGTATCAGCTATATAATTGCAGACTGAACTGCGCTTCAAATCAACATGTGCCAGAATTCAATTCCTTTTTATGGTCGTTAATTAAAAATGGAAAAGAAATGGTCAAATATAAAACCTCTGATAAAGTTAGTAGCATCAAATATTAAAATTGATTTCAACGAAAAAGGAGAATTGTTTCAGCAAGCGACTCTAGTTAGTTAATTTAGACATTTAACCCCGCCAACAAAATTAGTTGAAGAAGTCTTAAGAAACCTATTTATTATTTATACTCAATCTAAACATTAGAAGTGACAGCTTCTGGAACTACCAACAGAACCAGAAAATAAAGTCGAAGATGCCGATTTATAAAGTTATAAGTATCCCACAAAAAACAGGAGAGATTTTAATTAAACTTTGACATAACGTACATAATAAAGTTGTGTATTGTAGTATAAGAGAACATTTGAAAAAATATATTTTACTATATAATTTACTTTTCTTATATTTTAATACACTTACATGATATTTATTTGGTATTTTAATAATTTATAAAAAAAAAATAGGGGGGAGGGGTATAACTGGTCATGCCCGGGTTATAGTTTTGACTAAATAGCAACTCTAAGGTATTAAAGTACTATTAGTTCTAAGGCATTATAGTATTTTATTAAATGTTAGGTTTTCCAATATACACCTAGTATTTTCTAGAGCACTATCAACTTTTAAAACCTAAACGGGAACGTCTCATTTAATATTTAACTTTTAAGATAAGAATAGTTCACCGAAAGTTTTGTCTGGGCGATAATCAGATTTTTAAATTTAGTCAAAAAACCATAAAAATATCGTTGAAAACCACCAAATCATGTTAGTATACCAATATGTGTATACAAGTATTTCAACTTTTTAATATTTGGTTAGAAATTTAAAATTAAAAGTGAAACGTATGACGCCTTTACACATCACAATACTTAAAGCTTGTTCAGTGTAAACTAAAACGGTCTTATCATAACCTAAGTTTTGGTTTTTTTTATAGAAGGTGTACAATTAACAATATGTCCCTGTCATCTTAAAATATATTGGACTTTTGTACATTATTTTTTTCATACTAACATAGTTTTAAGTTTTTTTCAACCAAGTCCCATATGCATTTAAACCCTATGCAGTTAAGATATATATATATATATATATTTGTTTAACTTAAGTTTAAGCATAATTTGCAGACAATATTGTTTGGTCGATAACCAGTTATGAATAATTACTTTAAAAATTATTGAAATTATTTTTTATAAATATTATTTAGCTGTACAATAAATTTGAAGTAATATTTATTATATGCTTTAAATGTTTTTATTGTACAAAACTTCTCCGACTGGCAATTTCACCAAACAATTTAAAATGTTGACAATTAAAAAAGTATTTTTTTTAAATGATTTTTTTTCATGTGATAATTGTAACTTTTGATGTTAAAAAATTTACTTTCGACTGTTAGCCATGAGCATATTATCTAAACTTAATTTAATGGATATTTTTCTAAAACGCAATTACCTAGTTTATGAAATTTTTCAAACGAAATCATTTTAAAAGATGTGTTTTTTTTAAAATAGATAATGCGATGAAAACCGAAATTTATTGTCTTGTTTACTTTAAAAGTTGTAAGTATAAACTCCATTGTTACTGTATCTTTTTTTGATAATTTAATAACTATTAAAAAAATAACAATGTTGACTGGGAAGTTTTTGGTGAATTCAGGTATTACTTATCTGCATTACACTTTTTGGCTATGTCATTTTTTTAGAAAAAAATTGTACAACTTACTAAATATTATGCATAATTTTATAATTTTTGTAGTTTTAAATTACAACAGAGTGTGTAGGAAAGAAAACAAGAGGAGAGAATATTAATTAATTTAATTTACCACAAAACGATGGGAAAACTAATTAGTGAATTGAGAATTGTTCTAGATAACCTAGTTTTGGGAGTTAAGCTTGACATAAGTGGAAAAAACTGATTGTCATTTATCATAAATCATAAAAAAAGCTATAATAATAAAAAAATAAAATAAACAACTTTGAAGTAGGTTTGTTTGATTTTTTTTTTTTAATTATCTTTTATTTTTTCAATATTATTAAAAGATGACAAGTTACGTGTGGCCTCTGTAAGTTGATATATTGTGTTCAAACGAGTAAGTTAAACAAATTTTAATTTTACCATCGTTTTTGGTCGTTGGATTTGATTGCCTGCTTGTGTTTATTTTCTCTTGCTATTGTTTGTTTTAATTTATAATGAATAACAATATTATAAAGCATATTATCAAAAATGTAAGTTGTATCAGTAAGTTATAAAGGTAATTTTGAAATATGGCATAGCCGACAAAGCAATAAAGATTTGTGCAACTTAATTTGTGCAACCAATCAATGCGCGCCAAATGTTTGTAATGTTATTAAATTTACGACAAAAGTAAAACACCGAAAATGTAGTTTTTGTACACAACTACTTAAAAGTATGATAAACAATTTCTGTTTTAATCGTTTTTTTCATGTGTCATAATAAAAAAAGAGGCATTAAAAAGAATTATTGTTTAAGTTTTTGTTGAAATTTGATAAACATGTAAAAAACATGCCCTAAATTAAGTTTTCATTGCCAGTAAGTTCAAAAATAAGTCCAACGGACGGTGTCTGACTCAATTTTCAATAACAAAAGTTACATATTATGTTTAAAATTTAAAAAAAAGTGTGAAAACGGCTTAAAAGTTTCAAATTCATTTAAAAAAAATTAGGTTTGTTAGGCGATTTTGAACTTTAAGCTGGAAAATTTTGCATAATAATAATTTCTTTCATAAAAAAAAAACATTTAAACCGAAGTCGAGTGCGCAAAAGAAGCACAATATGAAGTTTCCTGGACCAACCGATTTGGGTTAAGTTCAGGTAATTTAATATACAATAATATACTTAAACGGCTTATAAATATTACTTTGAACTGAAGATTAAATTCTGAACAACTTTTAAACTGTTGAAACGGTGGCCTAAGACGTCTTGTTTATTTCCTGAAATCGTTAAACCGATTAATGTTATATTTTTTTTGTTAGAATAATAATTTATACAATTTTTATTATTTTTTTTTTTTTTAGGGAAACGCTCAAACGATATATTTTTATGTTATTGTTTTGGAAATAATCGGTTTTGTGTTCGTTTTACTTATTTTTCGACGAAAACAACAAACAATACACAATTCTAGGTATAAAAAATTGTATTGGGGTCAAATAGAGTTTTGCGTACACAATATGAAATGTATTGAAAATGTCGTGTAGTTATATTATAATATAAAATAAAACGTATAAAAGCTTGAGCCGACGAAGGCTTTATGGACGCCGTACCAAATAAATAAAAAAATTAACAAACGTCAATCCTTATACAATATATAAATTACCTAATTAAATAGGTTACCTAACAAAATAAAAAAAAAACATGTATGATAATTATCATCTTAAAAAAGGGTAAGGAAAATTCTTTGATTAAACACAATTCGAATGGAAATTAAAATTCAAAAAGAAAAAAATCCTCAATCTTTGAGTTTGGATATTAATCCATTGAGATTCTTTTCATTTCGGCTCTGAGCGTTTCGAGTTTAGGTGTTAATTTTTTAGTTTCTTTTTCCACGGCGTTGCAATTCTCGATTTTTTTGTTTTTGGCCGCGTTTATGTCTTGACAACTGAAAAAAATACAAAAACAAAAGTAAGTACAAAGTATAAGTTTGAAATAAGCAATAATTTTAATTATTATTGCAAAAATAAATTGTTTGAGTACAATGACAAGCGGATAGCACAATTATTCAGATCACAATTAGCAAAATTTTAATTTTTGTCTTTTATCATTTTATTTTATTTTGGTTAAAATAATAATTGAACGTCAAAAAAAATTATTGGAATAAAAGTTAAAACAATAAAATGAAATAAGTATTTGTGTATAACAATAACGTTAAAAACATAATTTAATGTTAATAAAATTTATATTATGAGTTAAAACATATGAAAACTTTTAGTAGTTAAAAAAACAAAATTATGGAAGCCATAAAAGTATATTTTAATTAAAAAGTTCTTAAATAAAAATTTGAAAAATAAATAAAAAAGTATTTAAATACAATTTTAATAACTACCTGTACTATAAATGTATTTAAATTACAAACCAAGTGCGGTTTTATATTAAATTGTAATTGAAAATTATTTTAAAAAGTCAAATATAATCATTCAATACAAATACAATCAAAGTTTTCATTTATAAACATGATTTCATAATTAAAGTGTTAAATTATTCCAACAAAATTATTATTATAAACAGTAATTAGAGAAATAATGCACCAAAAAAAAGGTGTTTAAAAAAATAATCATTTAAAAATTGAATAGAAATTGACCAGATCATAAGATTTTAGTAATTAATTTATACTTAAAGCTTATTAATTTTATATCATGAATTAAAAACAAGATTTTTACGTTAAAATAGAGTAAAAATATAATGCAAATATGCAATTTAAAATCTTAAAATATTTCCATTACCAAATTGGCGTATTTCATATATCGATTAATTTCATGCACAGCTCTTCCATGCATAGAACCATATTGCTGGAAGGCCGGGATAGGATTACTTTAAGTATACATAAAAAATTGCAATTTTATGATTTATTTAGTAGTAGAAATTATATTATTATTATTATTTTATTTTGAACACATAATCGCTGTATAAAATACTTGTGTGTTTTGAATGTTTTAAATGTATTAAACAACATTAGGAAATGTATTATTAATATAAATTAAATTCATTTAAATCCTCTTCAAACAATCTATGCAAAGTTGTATAAAACATACACAGAAATTTATGATTTATAGAACTGATTGAAATAAATCTAAAATTGTCAAGAATAATTGTATATTTTTAGAAAAATTTTACCAAAGTAGCAAAGAAATATTATTAAAGCCCCATTTTTAAACGTTTTTGCAATGTTAATCAAATTCGTCAAATGTGTAAGATTCTTAAAACATAATTAAAAATATTATGAAATCAAAAAAAAGAAAAAAATGTAGGGAAAAAGTCTAAAAAACAAAAATGTGTGAAATATATTATAAACAATTTATAATAAAACATTTTTATTGAACACAGTCTAAAAAAAATCGATAAAACTATCTTCTTAGCTACTTGTAAAATTAAAATAAATATATAAAATAATTTTTTTTATCCCTAGCTGATATGTTGACGTATAAAAAAAATAGACTTATCAAAGAAAAATTGCATTTACAATTTTTCCAACTGTGTTAAAAAACTCTCAACTACAATGTTTTTTCAAGTGTATTATTTGGAGGAAATTTGGAATTTAAATAACAAGTAGAATTTGTATTAATGTTGTTGTTGCTAAATCGAGATGGATAAAAAGGCAGAAATAGGCTATTTACACAAATTTTACTTATTTGTTATGTTTGCCTCTGTGTTTATTTCGAATCGATCAGAATACAATATATATTTTTTATATTGCCTACAATAGCTGCAATGACCAGAATGACCGAAATGGTTATCTAAGAAACCGTACATCCGACAGTGGCTCATCTGGACTTGTGTGAAATGGTAATGTTTTTTTACCTATTCATATTTTCTAATCACAGACTTCTAAATAATATTTGGGGAGAAACACAAGTGTCAATGTATAAAATGTTATATGCAATAATTGTACTAGTACATTATTGTTTTCGCCGGAAATAGGTTTAGTAAAAAATTATACTCTTCCGCTTACAGCTTGTCCAGCATTCTGTACGCGTCGATTTCCATTTTGATTTCCTGTTGTTTTTGAGCGATTTCCGTTTTCAAAGAACTTATTTTGCCACGGATTTCTTTCACCATCATCTTGTGGTCACGAGTGCGCTTCATCAAAGCAGCCTGGCTCTAGAAAATCATTTATTTTTTATTTTCAATAGGTGTATAAAATACAATTAGATACCATCAAATCCGGGCAGAATTTCTAATTTAAATTTACCAAAAATAAAGCCAGGTCAAGTAAGGTCGGGCCGTAGTGAGGAGAGATCATGTTTGAGGTGGGACAGAGTACAGAGTTATGTTGTTGAGTGTTTAAAATTTAAAAAAAAATATGATTTCAAATTTAATTCAAATAAAAATGTATTCTCCATTATACACCCACGTCTAAGTTCAACTATTTTTTTATTTATTTTTAATATTATTTGTACAATATTTTGTTTTTATTGAATTTTTTGTGTCTGAACCGACAATATCTATTAAACTACTGAACCGATTTGTTTATGTAGATCCTGTAGATCAGAAATTGTAACTGATAGGCCACAGAATTTAATCTCTATTCCACTCGCAAATCAAGAGAAACACCTAAAACATATTTTTTAACTTAAAATCACATTTGTGCGAGAAGTTTATTAGCTACAATAACTGTATCAATGAACGTTGACAATCCAAATAGTATCAAAAACCCTATCCCGCTAGACGAGATGCAACCTTTTTGTTTTATTAATTTTCTAGAGTTTGAGGTCTGAAAATTAGACTGAATGTAGATATTGAATGTGGTTATAATGTATAATATTTCCTAGAAAGTCTGTAGTCAAACTTTTATTAAGGAAAAACCAAAAAAAAATTACTTATTTGTTTTGTGTATTCAGCCCAAAAACATACGCATGTAAAAAATGGGAAAATTACAATTTGATCATAATACATTTTTAAGTTTTTATTGTATGAGTGAATCAACAGTCAACAGATATATAAAAACGCTTCAATGCGAATGTGTAGATGGTAAACAATATGATAAATATTGAGAAAACTCAAACCTCAAGCCCTAAAACTTCACCTAAGAGAAAAGGGACAATAGATAAAGTTCCCACCTCTTCTAGGGGAAAAGGTTTATGAAATTTTTTTGGTCTGAAAATTCTCTATCAATTAAAAATTTAATTTGAATATTTTAAAAAAAATTATAGCGCGCCGTAATTTTAAGTAAAAAATGTTGTAAATTTATTATTTATTTGTATATAGTTGTTTTAATGCACCAAAACTTGTTTTAATTTAAATAAATTATAATTACCATTTCAAATAAAAACTAGTTTGGGACGATATGTAAAACTTTATATTTAAAATAATATTTTATTGACACCAATTAATAGTTTACTTTTTTTTAACAAATTTATCTGAAAACAAATTAAGTTTCATTTAATAATTCAGTTAAGTTATTTAATATTTTTTTAAATACAAATGAAAAGCAAAATAATTATGTGTTTAAATTTTAAAAATAGCACATAAAATCAAATACATTTTTGTTATGAGATAAAGTTATTTTATAGGAATATTTTAATCCTACCAATGTCGATAAAATATTATTTTAAGTTAATTCGCGGTAATCGTTTAAGTTGTAAAGTTAAATACTTTTTGTTTATATGTTTGTTAAATTAATTTCAATTAAACTAAAGTTTTACTTGTACCTAAGTAGAGTTTTTATTAGTAGATTTATTTAATTGCAAATATTCATACGAATTTATTTACATAGGTACCTACTACCCACGTCTGGTTTCAAATAATTTGTTAGTTTTGTTTTTTGTAATTAATAATTATTACATGCATGTGTTATAATATCTAAATAACATATATTAGTATGTATATACATATACATGTTTTTTAAACAGATTTACTTTAACATTTATTTTCGACAAACAAAAAAAAATTTCCAAAATATTGATTTCGGTTTGTTCCTTCAATTATTGTTATTATTCTTAATTATATTAATTTAAAAAAATATTATATTATTTTAAATATACATTTAATAATTACTTTGAAACGTTATTTTACCTGTTATATGAAAAGTTTTTTTTGGTTAAATTGTTATTTTATGTATTTAAGTTTTAAAAAAAAATGTTCGGTTTAAAAATGTTTGCCCAGATTTGATTAAGACCATGTGAATAGTGATTGCTAATCTAATTTTATACTTCAACAATTTCGGTTTGTTCTTTTAATTTCTCCATCATGTCTCTTGTCATTTCAGCGTGGTTTCTGAAAACGATAGTGAAAAATAAAAAAACAAAATTAATATTATATCGTTACTCTTATTGTGTTAACAGCTCACAGATGTTAATTTAACTCACATGGCTTCTTCTGTGTCCTGCGAAGCAGCAACGAAATCGGTGTTGCGCTTTTTGTTGATTTTCTTTATCAAGTAATCGTTCCTGGTCTTGCGTTCGTTCACTTTCTTGACCAACACCCCCAAACTTTCATGAGCAGCTTTCAATATGGCTGCAATTTAAAATATATATATATTTTAGAAAAAATTTTATTTTTTATTAAGTCTAAAATATATATTTGGGCTATTTCACCGCACGTTTATGTTCATGGCGAAATTTTCCATTTAGTTTATTCAGGTGACAAAAATTAGTCGATCGAAATCATTAATATACTTAGAAAAAAACAAAAGGTAAAAAAAATACAATTAATATCCATTCATTCACACTCCATATTCAAAATGCATTCAAACCTGTTCGTTCGTAGAGTGGGATATTGCTAGATTTTAAAAATCAAAATCAGGGTTTTTTATTTTGAATCAATTTAACAAAGATTTGGATATTTGATTTTTAAAGTAATTATTATCTTTTTCATGCTACATTATATATAAGACCAGCAAGTTTTTTGTAATAGGTATATCTAGTGTATTATATATAATATAATAAGTACTATGTAAAGTATTGAAATATAATTTATAGCTAAAAATTATTATCTAAAAAGTGAGAGTATAGTAAAAGAGAAAATGAAGACAATTCATCGGTTGTTAATGGTGTTCTTTGTTTTTTTTTTGTATTATCAATAAACTTGTATTAATTTAATTAACGACTGGATTGTGAAAGTAGACGGATAATTTGTGTACTTCCTTGTAATGCACATAATATTATATTATATATAATAATATGTTATATTGGAAAATGAAGGATGACTTAAAAAAAATTTAAATAAACACCAAGACCTTATTTTTAACATATGCGTTGTACAGTCAAATTTGACCTTTTTTGTGTGTATTTTAATAAATCTATTTTTTATTTTTTTGACTTGGAACCGAATTTGGTCTTAGCATTTTACTAGCGACTTTCGTTATTTTTTTTAAATCGCTTCCAGCGTTGTGAAAAACCCCACCGTTTTTTGTTGTTCTTACTGTGAGTTGTCCGTTAAAATGTTTTTCAGAGAAAAAAAGCTGTTTATTAAAATAAATATAAGAGAGTTTTTTTTATTTTCTATTTACTTTGCTGAATTCATGACTAATGTCTCAGAATAGATGTGGAATTTGTTAAGTGTTTTACAAAAGAAAATAGGAATATTCCGATTTGATTTTTATTTTAATCCACCTTATCACTAATCTCCAGTGAATTCAAATGTGAGGGGAGGGAGAAGAAAGGTAATGGATAATTTAAGGGATATTTTGATAATTTATGATCCAACTTTTAAATAATCATGTACAAGAGATCTTAGAAAACGGGAGTGCCTTATTAATTCCACCCCTAATTTCGTATACCCTTTTTATCTTTCCTCCCCTGCAATTCTATTTCCGGTGTCGCGATGACGCTAATTCAATGATCAGCTGCTATAAGACTTATCCCTCGACTTTAATTCACAGGAAACAATGAATCTCTTTTCGATTCCAAAAATATATAACAGCATTACCTCCTCCTGGGGATTGTTATGTACGGATACTATAGCGTCGAACAACAAATTCAATTTCGTCATCTTTTCAACAAAAGAAATCAGGCCTTATTTAGTTTATCTGAGATCATCACCGTCCAAATCCCATTTAATACGCTGCCCGGTGGACATGACCGCATTTTTATTATTATTTATTAGACATCCTTTTATTAGCTGCTAAATAAAGTTACCGTGGCGTGGCGTTGTAATGAAATCCCTAACACTACTAACCGTCGTTTTCTTTCTTCTTCAACACGGTCACTTCCATCAATTTCTTCACGGCGTCTTTTTCTTTCATTTCAAGCTCGGCCAGTTCGCGTTTGGCTTTGTCACGTCTGAGGCGCAAAGCTCTCATTTCCTATAAAAAAAAAATTACAAAAAAAAAAGATCATTAAATGATACACTTTGCAAACATCGCCGACAACACTCGAGAAGTCCACCCAATTCCTTATTCAAACGTGTGAGCTCATTGCATCCGGTGAACACATTTTTTTTGTAATTTTGTTGACTATAATTTATCTTTCTATTTATCAACAGGCCTTGAGTGGAACAGTTGAAACGGTAATAAGCAATTGTAGAAGGAGTGGCAATAATTGACAAAAAAACTTTAAGCAAAATATATAAATATATACAATGTTGATACTATTATTTAAGATATAAAAATGTATTGGATTTCGATTTTTGATCAGTGAATTGGCTAAAACAACTTTAAAACATTAACACTAACGAAGTGTCTAAATAGTAGTATTGTTAATGTAATAAGAGTCATACATAAGTTGTTGTTTTTACAAAATTTACTTAAAATTTAATGGAAAATATTGCCCATAAGAAACTGAATAACTGCAAAAACAACATAAGTCAATGTGTTTACTTGTAAAAAAAATATATCATACTAATATTTACATATTGTTACGTTAAATAGTCATTGGGTTTTAGTATTTTTTGTGAATTCTGGACTTTAGTCTACACTTCTGATGTTTACTAGTAATAAATGCGTTTTTAAGTATCATTTTGTTTAAGGAAAAAAAGGCGCAAGGTTGTGCAACGATTTTAATAAAATGTCTGCGTTAAACTAACTTAAATTAACAAATGCTGAAAATAGATGAGTGCAAAAAAAATGTTAAATGTAGGAGTAACAATTGTGTTCTAATATACGGTTAGAGTAAAATTTTAGTTTTATGACTTATGTCATTTGCTGAATTGACCGATTTAATTGCACTTAATGAAGGTACTTATTTCATTTTATAACATTGTACCTAAGTGTATTTTTTTTTTACATTTTTTATATAGGTGTCTGATGTTTTTTCAACCATTTACACCAACGCTATCGAAAGACATAAACATGTTTTTATGTTGAAAATATTATATGAATCCTTTAAAAAAAAATGTGTTTGCTATGTGAGTTTTTATTTATATAGTTTTAAATTTTACTGATACTGTATTGACAATTTATTATACCTTTGAGGTATTTTAAAAAGTAATCCGATTATGGGTAAAACGTTTATTCTTTTTATTTCATCGTATTTCAACAACTATTTGTGAAATATATAATAAATAATTTGTGATATAAAAAGTTACAACCATTTATATAATGTCTAAATAAAGAATAAAACAAATTTAATTAAACATTACCTAAAGTTTTAATCGACACAAGTCATAAATTTTAAATTTTGTAAAAAACTTAGGTATTACTTAGGTAAACAGCAATATTTTTTATTATGCACTTTTGCCAGTTTATATATTTTGTTTTTCGGATCATAATTTGATTCATAATTTACAATTTTAAAAAGTCCACCTATTTCATTAAATTAGTACAAAACATAAATGTTGACATTTTGCATAACAAAATAACTTTTAAAATTTAGGTAAAAAAACAAACAAAAATACAACGCAATAATGTAAAAAATTGTAATTCAATAAAAGTAGGTATTGTTTTTTAATGTCGATTTTATCGTTCTGTCAAGACTATGTTATTTGCATTCCATTACTCAGATCAATGTTATAATTTTTAAGTAACTCGGCATGGGAGCAGAGCAAAGCCAACCATAAACAGTAGATAAACATTATATTATTCGAATCAATACTCGCCTGCGACTTGTATGTCGGTGGCGGTATATTTCTACAAGATTCACTACACAAACACTTATACATTCCGGCAATAAACTCACTCGCTTCCTTTTGATAAAAAAATAATAATAACCTAACAATAGGCCCCACACTTAAACTTCCTTTTATATATTAATTTATTAGTGTACCCGTTTTATAGCCGCTGCACACTTCAGCATTCACATCTCCAAGATTAAACGTCATAACTAGTTGGAAATAGTAAGAAACGTTTGTTTGTTAAAAAGAAAAATATAAAAATAATAGTTAACTCAATTTCAGGTATAATAAAGGTATTTTCATGAGTTTACACGAATTTTTTTCTTTCAGTATTATTTTAGTTCACTAAATTGAGTAGGTATGAACAGCTATTATAATATTATTATTAGTGCAACGCCTAAAAATGCCTTTATTGGTTTTTTAATATACACCCAAAAGGAAAATATAATATATTATATTAAAAAAAAACCCACAATGGCATGTCGTTTAGTAGATATTAGGAATTCTTCACGAGGAGACGTCAAGTATACTTTATCGTTTTATAATGGTTTTTTAATAATTCTGTGTTGTATAATACCACATTAATGTTTAATATAACAATAAAGCGTGGATAAACGAAACAACGTTAATTACAATATATTATAACATTACACATTTAAATAACTGTTAATATTTTAGTTACAATATTTAAGGAGGTTTATTAAGGATAAAGCCTGGTTTAAAGCGTACAAATTAAGTTACCGTTAAGAATTTACATTTTTTAATATGCAAACGTTTTCTAGGCATTTAAAAAATATTTTTTTAGTTGGGAATTATGTAAATGCATTTTCAGTTTTACTAATTTTTATTTTGTTGTTATTTAAATTTGTTCAAATAAAAACCTTTTTGAAATTATTACTCACAGCTTTGGTTGAATAAAAATATAATTATTACCTATATTCGAGATTTTATTTTAATACATTCTTTTAATTTGTAGTATAATTATTCAAATTATTATTACAATTACACCCAAGTTTGATTATAGCAATAAATATCACTGTTTTGTCACGTATAAAATTGTAAGATAATTTTACAGGAAATATAGCATGATAAATTTCACAGGAATTAGGGCATGATTAACTTTTTTCATCACACATTCCCAAGATAAAAACATAATTCCATAAAACCTGTATTTATACCAACTTATGAAGTACGACTTGCTTTGTTATCAACAAAATAGAAAAAAAATAAAAATACTAATAATTTAATACTTTGTAAACAGAGAATACTTCAGTTTATCGCGTTAATATAATATAATTAAGTGTATCAAGAGTTTAGGACTACTTGACTTGAAAGGAATATTTTGCTGAATATCTCGTGTGTCTAAAAGTGTTTATAAAAAGAAAAAACCATTGCTTTATCGAGACGAGAACGATTACCTGAAATATTATTGTCAACAAATCGATTTTCAAAAAAAATGTTTATCGTTATTTAAACCGAATTGATCCCAATAAAAAAAACATTAAATTGTACCTGTATTATAAAAAATTTTTTAACTTCCGGTTTATACATTTTTGTACTAACAACTAAAATATATTATAAGTGTCATTCCATGTCAAATCTACAACAATAATATTTTCAGTTCGTTTTGAGTTTTTAAATGTATATTAAAAATAATTTGTCCTTATTGATAAAAAAAAATTACAATAAAGCCGATTGTTAACATTTTCAGCTTATACCACTTGAAAGATTTAAAATGGAAACCTATTTTTTTTTTAAACTTAATATAAGCTTTAGGACATAACGTTTGGTTGGAAAAAAAACTACGGTTATAGTTTTTATTCTTAGTAAACTTTTCTAAATAACTAATCAATATTATTTATGAAATAGGTTAACAGGTAATAATGTCAGAATTTTGACCAAAAAAATACAAAATTTGTATAAAAAAAACGACGGTTTTTAAATGACATTCTGTTTATTTTTTATAAATAAGTTAATAGTTTTTGAGGGGAGAAACATAGTGTAAATATGGGTGTAAAACAAAGAAATATTATTAGTTAAAAAACTAACCCTATCTTACTATAGAATTATAATGTCTAAAGGTTTATTCAATTAGGGTAAAAAAAAATGATCTCAACCTTTTCAGTATTGTGATGGAAGAAAAATGCGCGAATATCGTTGGGTATTTTTTTAAAAAACTATTTTTTTTTAATTGCATGTGTTCAATTATATAGTTTATTTCTGGATTAATCAATATGATATTATGAATTTAAAAAATAGAAAATTATATTATGTCAATTTCACATAATATCAAATAAAATTAGGTAAAATTTACGTTTATAGTATTAGTAAGTACAGGAAACAAAAAATCAGTATATGCTATACATAATTCTTTAAATTTTTTTTTTAAATTTTAGAATATTGATAACAAGTACAAAACAAAATATCGTATTGATTTCAAATGAAATGACCCTAAAACGAGTATTTTGTAATAATGTAGAGGTCATATTTTGGGTAAACCTAATATTTCCATATTAGACAATTTTACAAATAATAATACTTTACACTGGGCAATTTTCGGTGAATGATAAGCGATGGAAAAATAATATTTTGATTATTATCTCTTCGAGTAACTTATACTTATTGCTGTGAACTAATTTAAAAACATATTTTATCAGTATATAAAACTGACAAAATAAAGACAATTGAATTAATTTTGACTTAACCCGTTACCGTTTGCTGCAATTATTATAAGAACAATAATAATAATACAAATATATAATATTTAGGTTAAAAATACTCTTATAGAACGTTGGTCGATCACTGAAATTATTTACATTTTTTACTAATTATATATAATTTTTTTTCCTAAAACAAAAAAATAGATTAATAAGAATTGTTAAATAGGTACTAGGTAACTACAATGTTTAATCTTGTAAGCCAAAACACAATTCACGGCCAAGACAAGATGTATAATATCGTTCGTGAAATGTATAATGCGACAACTTTTACATAAGGTATTATTGTTTATAGATTTTTCGCATCAGTCGTTAATAATATTACACCTTTTTTATACATAAAAACAAGTGTAGATATTTTTAACTAGTAATATACGATACTATTATTGTACACTACAAAATAATATTGATTTTCGCCTTAACTTTTATGTATAAAAAGGAGAAACTAATTGTATAATACTTTCAAAGCCGTTACCAATGTCAATCTATCCTCTACTGTTATATTTCCGTCTAGTATAAAAGTAGGACTTATCATTTAATTTATAATACATTATGAAATATATTTTATAATGTTATATAAATTTGTATTTGCTATTTAAAGACGGTAAAATTTAGAGGTGACATTGTAATTTTGAAATTAATTTCAATAGTTTTCTTTTTAATTTATTTAAATTAGTTGAAATGAATATTCAATTGTAATTTAGATATAAAACTGTATTCATTATATAAGTTTTTTTTAATTGAAAATTAAACAATGCCCGAGTTCGTCTGGAAAAAATGTGCTGAAACTCATAATTAATAAAAAATATTCAATTTAGGTTATGGTATAAGGTTAGATAACAATAACATGATATCTCTGCGATTTTCCCCTCCCCAAAAAATAATTGTATATTAAAAGAATGATGATATTTAATATTTGAAAACTGTGATTTTTGAAATAATTAAGTAGATAATATTTTATATTTATAATATATCATTGAAAATAAATAATATTCCCAGCAATACAAGTAAACACAAATAAAGACATAAAACAGTTTTATTTCAGTGATTCAAAATAGAACTATCTGAGTTCATTTGAGTTTTCGGCAAACATATAACTGTATAAATTATACGATATTGTTGAAGTCCATACTTATATTTTATTTATATATATATATCGAATTCAGAGAAAATGTATAAAAGATTATTCAGAAAGCAATGCGAACGTTTCCATAATGTTTCCAAGTAGGCATTTTTTGCGGATAAACACTCGTTTTTGAATATCTTTTTAAATGTATGAATTCATTCGAATGTATTTTAGATTTAATATACGTATATTTTAATACAATTTTTTTTACCATAAATATTATCATTCAGATTTCAAAATTCAGAGTTTAACCGAGTAAATTGCGATTTTACAATAAAGGTCCTTTATGCTTTTAAGAAACCCAAACACAAAAACCACCAAAACCAACCACTAAACATATGAATTGTTAAATTTATAGTTTTCTATAAAAAAAAGTAAGACCACAACACTGACAATAATATTGTAGTCTACAAGTATTTTTGTACGGTTGAAAGTTCTAAAAAACAAATATTTTTATTTTTTGGTTTTAATGTGTCTTTGGGTCAACATAATATGATTATGTAGTACAAACAAGTCACAAAAGTGATGGCACAAGTTTGATATATAATAAATGAATTGGTTTAAAAGGAGTTAAGCTAAAAACAAATGTATTGGACAGTTATTTGTGATATAATGTTTAAAAGCATAAACCACCCAAGAAATTAAATAATAGTTATTAATTAAAATTTTTATTAGAAGGGTAAAATAGCAGCCCCCATTTTATAGCACTAAACTTTAAACACGAATATGAAAGATTCCCCATACGTATGGAAGTATATACAAAAACTTTGATAAAACTCTACTTATGTAATACACATTATAGCTTATAGAAATGTATAGTAAATGACATGACGTCTTACAATACCAAATACAAACAATTTTCATCGAAATTCTTATTTTTGGGATGGGGCAAGTCTGCTACTAGTACTTTACACAAGATACAAATGCTGTGGTTTATATATATATATTTTTTTTATGAGTTTTGTGTTGATTCCCAACTGAAAACTCTTTGGATCTCGAATACAGATCTGCCACTATTTGCTCACATTTACGTTTAACGACCTGTGATTTTTACAACTTTGGTAAGATAAAAGTTTTAAATCGCATTTATATAGGCCTAACGGGGAGAGGCAGATGAGAGGTGCTTAAGGGTACTCGGGCGTTCCCCCTTGGCTTATAAACATGCAGCCCTTCCTAAAACTCGCTTAGATAAGTATAATAATATGTAAAAACCGTCCAAAAAGATTTACGGTGGTTGCTGTTCCAGAGTTTTGTAAACGTTATCACAGAGTTTAAAAGAAAATGCAAAAAACTGCTAAGCTCATTTGCGAAAGAAAGTCACAGGAAGAAAAATTGATCCTAAGTACAGATTAGCTTACAAACAAAGCTTTGGTAAGATTTACGGTTTATTCGACATGAGTGTGAAGCCAAATATTTTTTTACTTTAAATCATATTTTTATTCTATTAAAAATCCAATAAAAATTCTGTGACAGTTTTGAATTCATCAGACAAGACAATTTTCAAACCTAATTTTAAATTACTGAATTCACAAGTCACATACACGTTTAAATGTCATAAAACCTAGTTTTAAACAAAAATTAAAAATTCTTCACAAGAAAAATGTGGTGAAAAATCTAATTTAACCGTCTAAAAAAATGGATTCAGTACGTATATTTGTTTTAAAAAATCTTAATTTTGTTTTCAAGTGTGTTTGGATGAAATTATTTAATTTTGATATTATGTAAATATTAACAAAAAAAAATAATAAGTATGGAGTCTTACGGTCTTGCCATAAAGATTAATTTTTTTGGAGATTAATATTTGACCCTAAAAAAATTACTTCACTAAACGGCAAACTTATTTATTTTTTGGAATAGGCATTTAAAAAATGATAACTGACTATTTCTTGAAATAATGGATTTGCGCGTTAAACTATTCTGGCGCTTTATATTTAAAGAGAAAAAGTTTTGAAAACTTCATATTCCGTCAGTGGGGTAAATAATAATACTTTGATTTTAATGTATACTTTTGAATTTTCATTAACTTAAATTTTCTCAGGCACGTTTTCTAAGTGACTGCCAATGTTAAAACTTACAAAACAAAAAACAAACATTTATTGTTTTATTTTAAATTTAAACGCTACACTAAAAATCCCGCATTAAATCTGAATTCGGTGGAAAGAAAAAAAATAGAAAAAGTTTCTATCGAAAATCAAGCTAATACAATTTTTTCTAAACTAAACTATGACTTTTGAAAAACGTCAAACGTTTTATCCTTAAAAGCTGTACTCTATATTTTGGAGGGAAAACAGACAAATTTAATAAAAAATAAATAAATTGGTGATAACAAATTTAAATCTGAGGTGTTTCCTTTTCCAAATTGTCCATTTAATTAGGTACTTATAAGAAACTAATATTAAGAAAACGTAATATCCTCTTTTTTTATTAAGGAGTTAGGTAGGATTATAGCAAAATCTTAATTTGAAGGTTAAACTACGATGTGTCACTATTTTTTTGGCAGTTAATTTATTTCTATCGCTACATTGTTGACAGCTATTCAAAAAAAAATGTTTATCTTATTTTACTGAGCCCACAGCACAAGAAAATGACGTAGTCTATTTTGCACACACTAAATCTTACGATTTAACATTTTGGAAAACCCTTTTAATTTCAAACAGTTGTAACTTTTTAATTAAATTTTGCAAAAAGGATACTTAACGGCGGTTTCCCCTCCAAAACGGTTTGTTTACTTTAGGATTTGACTTAACTATACTCTAAACGCGTTCCCAGTGGTATAACACGTCATTTTATTAACCGATAGGTATTACATCAAACTCTAATGTCACGTTAAACATAATAATATTATATTATAACAAACTAATATCGTTATCTGAAAATTTTTTTTTGTCTTTTTACCTCCGGAATCCTCTTGAGCACGACGTTGACGTCCAAATTTTCCATTTTTTCAGATGCTGTTGTGCAATACTTTGCGGCCGTTTGAATTGTGTCGGATTTATGGGTTGTTTTTTTTTTTTACTAAGGTAAACTGGGGTGGTGGTGGTGTTTTTGGTTTTTTGACGGGCAAGGTAAACGACCCACGTTGTGTACCGGTGTATTACTACAGGCGGCTGCGCTGGCTGCCGGTCGACGGCGTGTACAGGGTAGACAAGCGCGCGCTCAACGTGTACGCCGGACGATTCGCCGTACAGCACTACGGCCTACAAACGAGCGGCACGCACACACACACACACACGGGCAAAACTTTACCGCGCCGTCACCCGCCCCGCGCCCGTCCCTGTGGCCGCCGCCGCCGCCGCCGCTTTTGTTCTCCCCCTCGCACGCATACCGTATACCGCGTATACGGTAAGCATTCGTCAACGTCGGATTTCCCGCGCTATACCGTGCGCCTACACCTCTATAAAACACTGCACACACACACTGCACAATATTAATATAATTACACCGCGGTCCGACGCCCTCGAATTTCCCTATTGTCATATTATGTATTAAATTCTACGGTCGACCCCGAATAATAGCGCGGCGATTATTTAATACAATATTCCCTTTGATTTTTCTCCCCTCCCCTCCCCTCCTCTCCCCTCCACTCCCCACCCCCGGCGTATTGACATAACAAACGGCAATCTCGGCGGTCCGCCCTCCCGCTCGCCCGCCTACCTGCCTGTTTACCTCTGAAATTCGCCGAAAAATGATTGCGCGCACCGCGGTTTTGAGTTGGTACAAAACCCCCCAAAAAAAAAATAAAACGAATCGATACTATAATATTATATACACAGTGACTACCTTTATAAGCACAACTGCTAACTGCTTAAAACACTTCTACGGACGAACGGTTTCTCTAACGCTGGAGGTGGCGGTTTTTAAGAAAAGAAAAAAAATAGCCCAATCCGCAAACGCGACAGCTAAGTGTCCCACAAAAACCTGACAGACGAAATGGCTTTTGTTCTTGGCAATGTTTTTTTTACATACATACCGTAGTGTTTATAGCGCAAGTGAGTATAAATTAATTGAAAAAAAAATGTGCCGGGCACGGTTTTCGTTGTTTAACCATATAAAAGGGTCGAATTACCTAAATTTAAATTGCGTTTTTGAAAAACTATTAACAATAAATTGATTAGGTACTTCAATTATGGCCAGGGCCGCACAGAGGCCCAGAATTCAATTATAATAAGGCAAAAGTATAAAAATAAAAACGATCAATATTTATTATTATCATCGACTGATTAGTCTGTGTTCCTGGTAAATAACTGGAAGACGACGTAAGATTATATAACATTAATGTTATTTTTAGAACTCAAATAGCACTCGATACACTTCATTGATAAATTCTTATTTTTCCCAAACGGACGTTACTATATTATTTTGTCATTGCACTGCTTTTGTTGGTCAACATATAATTTAGTTTTTTTCGTTCAATTTTATTATTTCTTCATAGTTTTTTATGCAATAAATAATCTTAAGATTTTTATTATATTTTTAAATTCTTTGCGTCATTTTTAGACATTTTTTTTTGTGAATAATATTTCTTAGAATGCATTAAAATTTAATATTTTAACACATTATTCTGATCACAAAACAAAAAAAATGTCGCCTGCCAATCTGCCTATTTATATTTTATTACTTTTGAAAATGTATGTGTTGCATTGTGACGAATAACGACGGTTGACAATCAAAGTTTTTGAATTATGAGTTTTAAACATGTTTGATTTTTTTACTGTCATTCAAGTAGATTGATGACTCAAGTAGACTCATGAGTGATAGTGTATGTAATTGATTGATATCTCAAAACTAATAATAATGGATCAAAACTAATAGTACACGCTATAGCAATAAAAGCATCGTTGAAAATTACTTGAAAAACTGTTGGAATTATTAAAATTAATATAACCAAACAGCAGCACATAAAACTACAGCTGAACAAGTGGAAATCATCAGTCATCAATCAAACTGACGACCCAGCTGATTGTCATTTCTTTAAGTGTTAGATAGTTGGATGCTTCAATTAAGGTGGTCTCTGTTCTGACCGACTAAGAAATAAACTACATACACATTTGACTACATAAAGGACAAATTACGGGAAAAGTTGAACTTAATTTTTTTTAAAAATGTATTAGTTTTACAAAATATTAAAGTCGCCCTGAAAAGTTATGTACTCAAAGTACTAATAACTTAACTGAAAGTAGTTATAAAAAAAAAAAACGTTTCAATAATGCTCTTAAAATTGTATTTTTAGTATTATGGAGAATAGAAAGCGGGTAGTCTATCCTGTCCTAATTAAAAGAATTGAAAAAATGGGTGGTTTTAAGGGGTTTTATATAGGCAATATCTAAGACAAAATTAGTTATAAGAAATGTTGACGAAGTCTATTCATTTTCTTCTTCTACCACGTCAATCCATCTTTTTCTGGGTCTTCCTTTTGGTCTTCTTTGGTTCTGATTTCCATTCCAAAGCATTCTAACTGTTTCATTGTCTCCTTTCCTCATTATGTGGTCTAGCCATTGTATCCGTTGGCCCTTAACAAAGCTTGTTTCTGGTGACAGTGCAACTCTTTGATATATCTCCTTTGACAGTTCCCTACAGTATTCATCGCTGATGGGTCCACATATTTTCCTCCAAACTTTGTTTAAAGTTCAACCAAATCAATACCTGCCCGACCCGAATGTTTGCCTTGAGTGTTGTAGACCGAAATAATGACTCTTCTTTGAACATCTATCAAAGCCTGTTCAGGGGTCATAATTTGACTACTGTACAGACTTTGAGATAGTACATTTTCTAAGAAGGCCGTGGTTTAATTAGAAAAGTTTTAACCTGAACGTAGTATAATGAATTAATATTGTACATTCTACGTGCAAAGTTTTATTAAATATCGTCGGATGTCTGTTTGTTGAAATGTTTAGTATTAAACATAATTGCGAATTGTCCACACTAAGTGTACTCTACATCAATACTTATAAAGTGGTTTGGCAAAGGATATTTTTTGCAAAAATTTTGGTCTTAATCTTAAATATATGTGTAGGTATATTTATCCGTACAACAGCGGCCATAATAACGTTTTTAAATATTTTTGTGGCCTAAACACAACCACGCAAAACATTAATAAGATTTAAAAAAAAAAAAAAAAATTTATTTTCCTAGGGTTTCTTTAAGACGGGAACTTAGCTATACCCACTCGAAAAGTTGCTTAAAATCGTTATCTGAATTTCATATAAAATGTTATTTTACAATACATCTAAACCCACTACATTACTGGACAAGTTTATACTGTGCTTGGTATACACTGTATTGGTTTAGACTGTACTTGGTTTGAACTTACTAACCACAGCCCCCCACTAATATCCCAATGTACTGTCTTTTTTTATTAGCTGACGTTTATCGATAATATACTTAATTATCTAACGAATATTCCATTCAATAAAATCAAACTAAAAAAAAAACCCATCATTACTAAAATACCTTCTCAGCTCCTTAACTTGAAAAACACCTCTGAACAACTATACTTTCCTCTTGTGTTTTTTTTTTTATGATAAATTAACAATCTTAAACGTTTTGACTTTTGAAAAACTTCATATCCGAACATAATATATTAGGAAATGTTATTGCATATAAATATTTTTATAAAAAAACTACACGATAAACTTTTAACTGCAAACTTTGGAAATAGTTTTCAAATAATTTTTAACTAGACTAAGTTACTTTGTTCGGTTAAATTCATTTTCAAGATAACGGCGATGAATTTAAATGAAATTAATAAAAACACGTTTTGGACATTTTATACGTTTTCAGTGTTTCCTATACATTTTTTTAAAATACTTTAAATAGTCAATTCTGTATTTATGTATACATGTATATAATATGTATATCGATCCTTTGCCAATACATTCATGACGAAAAAAAACCACGCCCTTTATTGGACAATGTGTTTTTAACATTAATAATCGTGCGTTTTTCCGTCCAAGTTTCTGCTAATAATTTATTTATTAATAGTAAAAAAAAAAAAGAAGGTTAACCGGGTTATTGGTCGAAAAATATTTACTCATGATAAAAGTAAACAAGCCTATACAACAATATGCGACAGCGAAAGACAATATATTATTTTTTAGCTAACAACCTATTGTGGTAATAATGATAACAACCCTTTTAAATAATAATAATGTCGTACCCTTCGAAGAAAACCACTATGGCGGCCGGAGGGGTGGGTCTCAGTGGACACGTGCCCCGCTATCCGTGCCCACCTTTCTAATGATAATATTCATAATTCACACAGTTGGCTTAGACACAATGTTTCACCCTTTCTGTGGTAAAGTTGTAAATAATTTAGTGGACTTTGGGTTCCTTGAAAGCGACCATAATCTATGAAAACTTTTTAAAAAACAACTAACTTTTATACTGTTTAATATCGAAGAAGTTAAAAAAAAAACTTTGCCCTAAAAAATATTTCATACAAAATTTACAGACTATTTTTATAAAAGAGTGTCGTGGCTTTAACCCCTTCGTGCATGTTGTGCCGTATATGGCACAAATTAGTTTTTTGTTATTTGTTGCTTTGGAAATAAATTTATGACATAACTGCATAGATGGTCGAATTCGGCACAAAAAACTGATCCATTTTGATGTAAAGTACCTTCATCTAGCGTGAAAATTGTGAATTATAGATGAACAATAAACAACTGAAAATATTATCACCGCGTCGGGTAAAAACTATTTCTTTCATGCAATCATAACAAAAAATTGAAATTACCGAATTAAAAAAAAAAATTACTACCTTGTAGGGAATTTTGTGGAAAATATTTTAAAAGTAAGAACAGTTTTTTAAGTATAATAGTTTTTGAAATACAACAAAAACTTATTGTGTGCCCAATATGGGACAACATGCATAAAAAGTTATTATAATTTGTTACTTACATTATTAAGAAAAAAAATGATAATTATACAAATCATGTTTTTTAATTATCTTATAAAATATATATCACAAATAAATGTCAGTAATAAAAAAAATGCCAAAAAATGAATACTAGTTATGACAACATTTGTTTTGAGTGCATATTGTGCCAGATATGGCACAAACAAAAATTGTGTTTTTTAATGCATGATGGCCATAAGTGGCACAAACATACATTTGGTGCGCGTTGTACCATATTAGGCACGAATTAAACTTTGGGGAGAATTAAGGGGAAGTTGTA